ATAGGAATAGAAGGGACGTTCTTCAACATACTAATGGGCATATATGCAAAACCAACATCCAACATTATTCTCAGTGGAGACAGACTGAAACCATTCCCCTTGCAAACAGGAACCAGACAAAGATGCCCTCTATCACCACTTCTATTCAACACTGTACTGGAAATCCCAGCCAGGGCAAGAAAGCCAGAAAGGGAAATCAAAGACATACAAATTGGTAAGGAAGAAGGCAAACTATCCCTATTTGCTGATGATATGATCCTATACCTAGAAAACCCAAGAGACTCAGTCAAAAATCTACTGGAACTAATTGAGAGATTTAGCATCATGGCAGGATATAAGATCAACGTCCAAAAATCAGTTGGACTCCTCTGCAGCAGCAAAGAGATTGCTGAAAAAGAAATAAGGAAATCAATAGCATTTATAATAGCTACCAAAAAAAAAAAAAATACTTGGGAATAAATCTTACCAGGGACACAAAAGACCTGCACAAAGAAAAATACAAGACTACTTCAAGAAACCATAAGAGATCTACATAAATGGAAAAACACCATGCTCATGGATAGGAAGATTGACACTGTGAAAATGTCAATTCTACCAAAAGCAATCTATACGTTCAATGCAATCCCAATCCAGATCCAATCAACATTCTTTAAGGATATGGAAAAACCAATCACTAACTTTATATGGAAAGGAATGAGACGGGATAAGCAAAACAATATTGAGAAAGAAAAACAAAGTACGAGGTCTCACACTGCCAGATCTCAAAACCTATTATACAGCCACAGTAGTCAAAACTGTCTCGTATTGGTACAACAGACACACAGACCAATTGCAGTGTAGTAAATTACATAGTATGGCTTTTCTAGCCATAAGTGTTTGTAAACCCCCAAATTCCACGGTGGAATTTGCCATGAGCAGAGTAGCTCCTGACTGTTAATGTTATTCACCTGTGGTATTTCTATTGAGAATGGCAGGAAGCAATCTTCTGGGAACTTCTCTCTCTCTCTCTCTCTCTCTCTCTCTCACTCTCGCTCTCTCTCTCTCTCAGGTGTACAGAATTCTGATGTTGGGATTGGTTAGTTTGGTCACTTTGCCAGGCTCAAAAAGGAGCCCTCCCAGAGGCAGGAGTCTCTCTCTGATTGCTGGCTGAGAAAGACGTGCTGCTGAGAGAAATGCACTCCTGAGAGAGACATACATGTTGAGTGAGAGATGCGAGAGACACACATTGCTGCAAGACACACAAGAGACACGCATTGCTGAGAGAGACATCGAGAGACATGCACTGCTAGGAGAGAGACTGAGAAAGACTGTTGGCTGAGAGGCAGCAGTCTGAGAGAGACTGAGTGTATTCCTGAACTAGAATTATAGCCTACTGCTTCCCTAATAAACCCCATAATCTGTGAGTTCCCTAATAAACCCCATAATCTGTGAGTGGCTACGCAGTGAATTATCGAACCCAGCAGAGAGGTGATGGGTGCTGCAGGAAGAACAGCTGGTGTCAGGGTTGGTGAAAGGGCTGGAGGGAGGCAGCATATCTGGCCTTACAGGAATAGGCCTTAGGCTACTGATGGTGATTCTGTCTTCCTCTTGTGGGGTGAGAGGAAGGAGTTCAGAAGATGCAGCCTCCCTGCCCCTTTGGCACCAATGGAATAGAATTGAGAACCCAGAAAAAGATCCACTGACCTATGGTCCACTGATCTTTGACAAAGGGCCAAAATCCATTAAATGGAGAAGAGATTGTCTGTTTAACAAATGGTGCTGGCAAAACTGGACATCCATTTACAGAAAAATGAAACAAGATCTGTACCTCACACCATACACAAAAACGAACTCCAGATGGATCAAAGACTTAAATGTGAAACCTAAAACTATAAAGTTCCTCAAAGAAAAACTAGGGAAAATTTAGGGGCCCTAACATATGGCATAAATAGACTATCAAGCACATCCCAAAATCCACAAATAGCAGAAGATAAACTAAATGAATGGGACCTTCTAAAAATTAAATTTTTTATGTGCTTCCAAAGACTTCTCCAAAAGAGTCTAAAGAGAATCTACAGATTGGGAAAAAATATTTGGCAACAACACATCTGACAAGCAACTTTATCTCTAGAATTTATAGAAAACTCCAATACCTCAACAACAAAAACACAAATAATCCAATTCAAAAATGGGCAGAAGACATGAATAGACACTTCACCAAGGAGGATATCAGGCAACCAACAAACATATGAAGAAATGCTCATGATCATTAGTCATTAGAGGGATGCAAATCAAAACTACAATGAGATACCATCTTGCCCCAGCACTAGTAGCAAAGTTCAACAAGACAAAAAAATAACAAATGCTGACGAGGATGTCGAGAGACTGGGACTCTCATACACTGCTGGAGGAACTATAAAATGATACTACCACTGTGGAAAGAAGTATGGTGATTCCTTTAAAAAGTTGGAATTAGAAATACCAGTTGACCCAGCCATTCCATTACTAGGTATATATTCTAAAGAAGGGATAGCCAGAACAAGAACAGATAATATGCACACCCATGTTCACTGCAGCACTATTTACAATAGCCAAAAGATGGAAACAATGTAGGTGCCTACTAACAGAAGAATGGATAACCAAACTATGGTACATACACAGAATGGAATACTACGCAACCCTAAAGGATAACGCAGAATCGGCAAAACTCCGCATAACGTGGATGAACTTGGAGGATATTATGCCGAGAGAATAAGTCAATCACAGGACAAATACTGTAATAGTTTGTTATTGTAAAAAATCAAGGAAAGGTTTATACATGGAAGGAAATTTTCTTTGTTGGTTACCAGAGGTGGGAGGGGAGGGGAAGGGAGCGAACACTGTTAAGTAGAGACAAGTATTGATTTGGGTGAAAGGAAGCTCAAGGTACCAAATGTGAGTGATCAGCACAGTGGTACTGAGGAAGAGGAAGACATAGAGAGGTGCATGGGAGATACAGACAACTAAGATGAACCATTCTGCACTTACAGTACTACGTTGTCAATGAAGGCAAACATTGATATATGGGTGGATGGATAGATGGGTGCACAGGATGAACTATTAGTTATGTCTATGCAGGGGGGAGTGTGCCCATGACCATGTATAGGGTTGGCAGGCAATGTTTCTACAAGTGTATTTGTATGTTCTGTAAGAATTTCCAGGTATAGAGTAGAGCTGACAAGGGACAAGGTTGTAGTCCCTTCTTGACCATAGCCAGCTACACAGAGGGAGTGGGTAGTTGGATCTGTGGGCTCAGGAACTTAGTTGGAGGGCACATCAAGCTCAATTGGCATAACATACTATACAAAAGCATTGTTCCACATCCTACTTTGGCAAGTAGTGACTGGGATCTTAAAAGCTTGCAAGCAGCCATCTAGATGCAACAGTGGGTCTCTCCTCATCAAGAGCAAAGAAGAATGAGGAAAACCAAAGACACATGAAAACAATTAGTCCAAGGGACTGGTACACCATGTGATCCTCAGTCTATATGTCTATGAGACCAGAAGAACTAGATGGTGCCCCGCTACCACTGTCAACCACTCAGAGGGGTATCTGTGTAGGAGATACTGGATGGAGAGGGAGAACAATGTGGAACAAAACTCAAAATAATTTAAAAAAAAAAAAAAAAGAGAGAGGGGTCTAAGTTTGCTGGTCTGATAGAGCCCGGTAGAACCACTGAGACTATGGCCCCTCATTGCTATTTAAGTCTGGAATTTAATCCACTCCTGTAGCTTCCAGCCAAACAAAAGACAGGCATATCAGCTGAACATTTACCTTAGGTAGATACACTCCTTAGAGAGATCAATCATGGGAGGGCAGAAGGGATGCGCAGGGAGGCACCTCAGGGGGCAGGAGTGAATGGGAGGGAAGGACACAGGGAGGAGGTAACTATGGGAAGGAAGTGGGAGCAGAGTTGTTACATTGTGGTAAACTGTAGTCAATGTCATGAGACAAAGTGTGTGTGAGCTGCTGTATGGAAAGTGAATTGGCTCTGTCAAGTTTCACCCAAATCACAATAAAAATTAAAAAAAAAAAAAAGAGAGAGAGATGAGAGATCTGTTTGTTCTATCCTAAAAAGGAGACTTGCCTACATGCTTCCTGATCCTGATCTTGTGGATGCTCATTCCAAATTTTTCCTTAAACACTTAACTGTAGTGCAGTTCGGGAGTTCTGTGAGACATTGCAGTGAACTGACAAACCCAAACAGGAGAGGGAAGATAGCTGAGGGGAGGGAGAGTGGCTGGTGTCAGAGATGAAGTGTACAGCAGCTTGGCGAATGTGGAAATCTGGGATATATTTGACCTCTGCCTCACAGAAATTGGCTCTGTCCTGATTCTTATATTTAAAGTTATTCCCATGGAGAACGTTTAAATGAAGGAACATTTATATCTAGCATGTCTAAATGTAGTACAGATGAATATATAAACTTTTACAACAGAAGATTCAATTAGTTTTCAAACCATGACACATTTCAAGTTTTTTAAGGAAGCCTTGAGCAGGAAGAGTAGTATGTAAGTCACGCATTATGGGAACAGTTATGAACATTTTTGGGACAGCAGAATCCTTTGAAAAACTTGATAAATGCAATGGACCTATTTTTACAGATGAAAATGTACAATGGTTATGTTCGTCCATATGAAGCTCCAAATTAAGAATTTCAGATCCAGGACCAAGAACTGAAGTAAAAAGGCTACATGTCTTCTCCCATTCAATTACTTCATAATATACTTTTGTAAAAGCCTACATAAAATTGTGAAAACAATAGATGTGACACACACTAGACAGCTCAAAACAAACTGCTTTAATGTTTTCACCACATTACATACACATGGAACTACTACATTGTACCTGTTAACACAGCATAAAAACTCTGTTAAATGCAATCCACCAAGCACACTACCTCAGTAATGTTCAGACTTAAACAATTATAAAGATCAACAGTTTTCTGATTAAGAAAAAAGCAACATCCTTTCAAAACTAACCTGTGTTTTTCCAAGAAGTCGGTAAGCTTGCTGAACCTTGGTATAATGGTTAATGTCAAAATTCTTGCAGATTTTGGAAAGAGCTACATCCAACTGTTCCTATGAAATTAAATGAGGAGGTAAGAGGTGGTTATGGAATTATGCTTCAAGGGCAAAGAGAAGAAAATAGTAAGACTAATTTTTCATTTTTAATTAATATTTAAATATTTGTTATCACACTGAATTTAGCAAACAAAAACACATTTAGATAAATTTATAAATAAATGATCATTTGGATAATTTAAGTAATTAACATTCATGAGAAACTATAATCAAGTTTATTTAGCTATTAATCTTTCTATTTATAAAAATTCATGTGTAGAGTCTCAAGGGACACAAAATAAGTGTATTATTTTTTTAAGGAGTTTTTTTTGTTTGTTTGCTTTTAACTTCATGTTCCCTAAAACATATGAGCTAAAATCTTAAAATTGTATGAACTACATTCATGGAACTATAGAGAAATAATAAAACAATTCTTCTATAATCTCTGGGAAGTAATTGTCAAAAAAAACTTCTTTGATCGTAAAAGCACATACCTCAAGGTTTACACTTTTGTCACTAAATCTCAATAATTTTAAAACAATGATTTTCTACCTAAGCATAGAATAATACTGTATATTAAGAGTGAAGAAATGGGTTTTCAATAGAAAGCCCTAATTAAAAATATATAGAGGATTTTACTTATGAGATTTTTAAAGCCACTGTTTTCATGATTATCAAATAAATTAGCCTTTTTCACAACCAGCAAATAGTTGCATTCATGACCAAGAACTACTTTCATAAAAGGTAATTTGAAAGTCTAGCTTTACCTTTTATAAGTTCTCTTACCAGGAAAACAGCAAGAAAAAAATTCCAGAAGATACTATTCTTATTATATTTGCTAAAATGAATATGGGGGGAAAGCAAAGCCTTGTGTTCATAATGACTTCCTTTTCTTTTTAGTGTCTATATTTTTGATGAACTGTGAGATATTATTTTAAGGTTTAGGAATTTAGGAAGGCTTTCATAAGCTAGTAATTATTATTAAGTAAATCAAGTCATTAAACTGAAAAAAAAGAACCACTTGGTCATCAAAAAATAGTAGGTGGACAGTTACTTTGGCTACAGTTTGGATAATGAGGACATTAACTATGACCAACAGTTTCAGGATTTTCTGGTAATGGTGATATTTTAAAACACTGTTTTCTAATCCTATGATTCCAAGTTTACAAATAGATTAACACTAACTTGGACATCAAGAGATATTCAAAATAACAATTGAAACACTGGTAATAATAATATGAAAGCCAAAACATAAGGTGTACTTATGCCATTCAAGAATCTCTGCAAAGAAAACGTCATTTTGATGTGACCCTTCTTACCTCAATTTGTTCTAAAGTATCTTGCAGCTTTGAATTCAGTTCACTATTTAATAAAACAGAGTTAGATGTATCTATCATTAAAATGGAGAAACTAAGGGCTAAACAAATACATGCCAACTACATAAACATTCAACTACATAAATTCAATGACAGACAGTATGAGCAATAAATCTTACTACTGATTCTATAGCAGCCATTTGGAAGTATTGCTATACTGCTCATTCTACTAGAATTTAAAAGAAATTTTTATCTATATACATACATACAGATAAAATTACATTTTCATGTTTCCAAAAAGAAACTTGAAGGAACAACCCAAAATTGGTGAGGAAAAAAAAAAAGTTAAGTTACCTCTGGGGAAGAGGGATGGACTAGAGTAGCAGTAAAAAAGATAGAGGATAAATCTCTGAATGTACGTTGTTTTATATTGTTTATTGGAAGCATAGAAATGTTTTTAGTATTTAAAAATTTAAACCAAAAGATTAAAAGAAAGTAATTTCTAAAATCAAATACAAAATGAAACAAATGAACCTAACCATGTATCAAAATGATCAAAAATTTACCTCAAAAATCACAGTAATTTTACTATCTATACTTAATGGTATAAATCTGAGAATATTATTATTATTTTAAACTAACTGACACAATTCCACATAATCCACAGGAGAAAGCATAGAATAGGAAGAAGTAAGAATAATAGCTTAAGCTTTGGAGCCAAAGTGATTACAGAAGAAACCCAACTAATCCTCTTAGAAGCTTATGACCTTAACAAGGTACTTAATGCTTCTGAACCTTGGTTTCCTCATTTGTCAACTGGAGATAATAACATCTACCTCATAGGGACTCAGTGAAATCACACACATAAAACAGTATCTTATCTGGCAAATGTGAAAATATTCAATCAACTATGTCCCATAAAGCAGTGAGTCCCTGGGTGGTGCAGAGTTGACATCCTTGGCTGATAACGGCAAAGGCTGACAGTTTGAGTCAACCCACCAGCACCTAGGAAGAAAGGCTTGACAACCTACTTCTGAAAAATCAGCCACCACTCAGACACAAATGAGGTTGTGAGGAGCAGAATCAACACAACAGCTACTGGTTTTAGAGTGCAGTCACCATCCTAACTATTTGCCTGAATTCTCTTCCAACAAGCTTGACTGGCATCTTCTCCTGCCCTCTCCAGATCGCTGCTCTATTATTTACCACTTTCATAAATTTTAATTCTCTTCTCTTCTAGCTCCTCTCTCTCTCAACTTAAAAAAGTAGGCTAAAGGCTTTTTTAGCCTTAAAAAGAAGTCTTCTGTATACCGTTTTGCTCTCAAGGAAACATTTCACCAAGTCCTTTCCTTAATTAATAAAATGTTTGGTTCAGATCCAAGCTAGAATTAAGTTCCTTAGCCTCTTTGGTATCCTCATCTAAATAACTGATATCTACACTTCATGAAGAGGTTGTAAAGCTGTGAAAACAAGGTTCTGGTACATGTAAAGAGTTCAATAAGTCCTCACCCCACTTGAATCTGGAAGGAAAAATATCACTGCTTCTCTTCCCCAGAGAGGCTCCTTTTCCCATATTCTTTTTCTTGGCACATAGCATCATCACCTCATCAATTCAAGCTGAAGATCTCAGAATCCTCTTTAAAATCAAATTCTCTTGACACGATTCTACCATGTCAGTATTTCTCATATCCAGCCACGAAAAAACCAAACCCAACCCATTGCTGTTGAGTCAGTTCTGACTCATGAAGAACCTGGATGGTGCAGTTCATACTCAACTACTAACTGAAAGGCTGGCAGTATGAACCCCCCCAGAAGAAAGTCCTGGTGATCAGCTTCTCTACAGGTCACAGCCAACCAAACCCAATAGAGCAGTTCCACTCTGTACCATATGGGGTCACTATATCAGCTACACTTCTCAGTTCTGTGTCCTAACTCAAGCATTACTACCTTGTGCCTCCTAATGAATTTCCACATGCAACACACATACATCTCAAGCTTCAATCCATTCATCCACTTATTTGGCAAATACCATAAATATTGTTCAACATCCGCCAGCAAGCTCTCTGAGCAGAGGTCTAACTTCAGACTGGATTTGGTCAATATTCTGTTTGGTTTGACAGACACAGTATTTTCAAATAGCTTAAATTTGAAAGGTTTTAGGCAAGTACTCTCAAATCGCATGGGCCATACCACTCTCTACTGTATTGCATCTATCAGCTTCACATTTATGTTGCATGCCTGGTCCCTAAAAGCATTTGAGTTTGCAGCTCCTAAGCAAAGCAGAAATAAAATCACAATAATCCCCTGCTTTAAAACCTTTGGTGGCTTCCCATTAAAGCAAAAGATAAAGGTTGGTATGGCATGATCCTTCGCAATCTGACAAAATTAACTAACTTCCAATTCATTTTTCAATGCCTATATTTTAGCCACCTGAACATGTGAAATCTTCATACAAACAACAGACTTTCAAACCCTCTTTTCTTATGTATAGGAGGTTTGGTGGTGTAGTGGTTAAGGTATTTGACTGCTAATCAAAAGGTTGGTGGTTCAAATATACCAGTCACTCCGCAGAAGAAAGAGGAGGCAGTCTGCTTCCATAAAGATTTATAGCCTTGGAAACCCAATGGGGGCCACCATGAGTCAGAATCAACTCCATGGCAGTAAGTTTGGTTTTGGTTTTGGTTCCTGTGCGTGAGGCTCTGAGTGGCACAAAATTAAGCACTCAAATTACTAACCAACAGGCTGGTAGCCTAAGCCCACCCAGAGACACCTCAGAACAAAGACCTGGCAATCTGCTTCAAAATGTTCACAGCCTTGAAAATCCAATAGAGCAGTTTTACTCTGCATGCATGGGGTCTGTGAGTCAGAACCTACTAGGTTCTGTTCTTGCACACACTGTTCACAATAACTAGAATTCTCCCTTTCTCACTCACAAATGTACATTTATCTTTCCAGGCCCAATTCAAATGTCACCTTCTCTGGACAGCCTTCCCCTGCTGTTCACAACATTCTGTTCCTAGCACCCTGTATTATATAGTAAGAAACATCGGTGACTGAACCCACAGCTGACTCAAAGCAGGTACTCAAATAAATACCTGCTGAATCAAATTTGCCATTAAAGAAAATGGTAAAATTTTATTTCCTACCTCAACAAATAAAACTACAGAGAAAGAAAAAAGGGAGGAGAATGTATTAGAAGGAAAAAAACCACATTAGACTTTGAGTCTACAAGTGCCTTAGCAAGAGCAAAAAGAGATCAGCAGAGCTAAAGCTAGTTCGTCTCTTCTGTCTTGTGGGGTTCAGAAGTCCCCCCAAAGACTGAAACCAGAGACGCATACATAGAAAAACAAGAACACCTGGAATAATGAGCAACTTACAACTAGTAAAAACAGTCTTTCAGGTAATAATTTGAGTTTAGGGGAAGAAGAAATACATCTAAATTCATTGAAAGGTAGCATAAAGGATTCTTTAGTTTCTCTACTGAGAAAAATGGCCTTTAGAGTCTATAAAATTGTTACAGATTTTTATTTCTATTACTTATGGTTAAAATGATTCTATAGCCTATATATTAACCAAAACCAAACTCACTGCCATTGAGTCAGATCTGACTCATAGCAACCCCTCCTTGGGTTTCTGAGGTGGTATCACTACAGAAGTAGATTGCCCAATCTTCCTTCTGAGGAATGGCTGGTGGGTTTGAACCACTAGCCTTCTGGTTAGCAGTCAAATGTCTTAGGCACCATGCCACCAGAGCCCCCATCCCATATGTTATGTAAATACATATATATCCTATATATATGCAAACATGATAATAGTAATAGTATGTAAAATCTTCTAAATATATATATATATATATATAATATATATATATATTATATATATATATATATATAAACCATAAAATCTGGTTTTATTAGAAACAGTTTCAAACTCTATGACTGTAGTTTGACAACAATTTACTACTACTCATTAAAAGCATATATAATGAAATTATTTACTGAAGGAGTGGACACACTAACACCAGCTTTTAAAGAAGTCCTTAATGACTATTTAGAAATGAATTTAAGCTATTACAATCAATTAATCAAAGATCTGTTAAAAGGATCTATTCATAAATATTTTGATATATAAAGGTACATTATGGTAAAAAAAAAAATTACTAGTTCTAGATGTAAGGCTAAGGAGCTATCAAAGGTTATCTGTAAGCTGAATGGAACAAATCACACAATTCTACAGTGTATTTTTACCATCATTACAGAAAACATTACATATAATATTGTCATAAATAACTAAGAGTGTTCCAAATGGCTCACCTAGGAGAAACACACACACATCCTAGAAAGATTGCTTAGAAATAAAAATTTTATACAAATTCAACAGTACAGAGAAAAGATAATACAGAGGTACTTAGCATTTTATTGATATTTCCCTGGCTTTCTATTAACAAGTCATGTGATTTAAGTGAAGTTCCTTAATATCTTTGGGCATCAGTTTCCTCTATAAAGGTAGGTTAGGTCTACCGTAGGTTGCTTCCATCTTTGAGGTTCCATGATTCTATTATATGCTGCATATCAATTACCATGATTGATCTTTGCACATGATTCAGTGAAGTGCTATTATTTCTAGACTAGATTTAAGCAACAGACTTCTAAAGTCTTTATCATATTTCTGTCTATTGGCTAGGATGTGTTTCAATCTGGAAATTCCAGCCTAGTTAGTTCTGAGGCCTAGTGCAGGGACTCCAATCTAATCACAGATAGCAAAGAAAACTTGATCTCAAACATCTTGAAGCTAAACCAACAATCTTAAAGTATCCTGAATACTAACATAGACATTCAAGCCAGATTGCAAAAGAGCACCTGAAACCAAGATCTCGGTCCTTACTCTGTTCAGAAGTTCCCCGCCTAGTCTAGAACCCAATACCAATCATTCACCAGAAAGGAAATCCAGAGTCCACTATTAAGGGTAGTACTTGCTCAAAACATCTCCAAACTATAAATCACTATTTTATCACCATCCTCATGACTCAGTTTTCAAAAGCTAAAAAAAAAAGCAAGCTTTAATGAGAAATATTATTAAAATCTAATTCAGAATTATTGTTCAGTCAGTGCCCCTTAGCTGACAGTATGTAAAATTTTCTATGCACAAGACAGAATGTTCTCAGGTTCCCTTCAAATGGTTTCTTTCAAAAGAAATGAAAAACAATAAAGCAGTTTTCACTTTTAAAAATAACTTTCCTCAATACTAATTTAGATAAATTTCAAGTGAAAAAAATTTAAATGCATCATTCACAGCTGTACTTTAGCATAAACATTTTAATTCTTACTCCCAGTAAACCCCAATTAAATGACTCTTGTCAATCAACTCAAGAAATGTCAAACAAAATAAAAATGTTCCCTGTCAGTTGTAAAAGTGAACAAACCTGATATTTCAGAATCTTTTTTATAGATACTGAAACACGGCACATCTCAAGGAAAATAAAAAGTATGGAAGAAGTACTTTGTTGTTGTTGTTGTTGTTATGTGCCGTCGAGTCGGCCCCGACTCATAGCGACCCCTCCCTGGGTTTCCGAGGCAGTATCACTACGGAAGTAGGATTGCCCAACCTTCCTTCCGAGGAGTGGCTGGTGGGTTTGAACCGCCAGCCGTCTGGTTAGCAGGCAAGTGTCTTAGCCACTATGCTACCAGAGTACTAGTTCACTTCCATTTTTCAACCAACTGGGTGCATCATAATGCATACCTGGCCCTTTATGTATTAAAAGTGCATAGCTGTATAATCTGAAATTTACTGGAAATAAAATAAGTGGTTCTTTATACATAAGCAAGTACGTGAATTTTTGTTCTGCTTTCAGAATCTTAAGAGTCGTCCTTAATTGTTCCATTTAATCTCTTCATCTTATTTCTCCTAAAAACATAGTCTCTGTCTTCAACCAAAAACCTTATTTCCCATAAAGGAGAGATGTGACTAGGAAGAAAAGGAAAAACACAAGATCTACCCAGGAAAGATGAAGAGGTAGATGAGCAGGTACATTTGTTTTCCTGCATAATGAACTTGTCTGCAGTGTAAAAGTCACAGCAGAATCCACAAATGGTTCTAAATCATGGAGTGGTTCTGTCTCATAAAACCCCAAACCTCACTGAGCTATGCCTCTTAAAGGATACTTCTAAAAGGAATGTATTTTGTGATTCTCTAGTCATCGACAGACTTGAAAATTAATTTAATGTTAAAGAAAATGAGATTATCTAAATTCAGCTGGAAATTAATTACTATTCCTATGATTACCAAAGCGTCAAGTGATTTTTCACTCTGATTCATTCAGAGCCAAGCAAAGATTAAATCTTGCCTTTGGCTAAATTCTGTAACTTCAGGACAATTATATGAAATTTTAAAGTGTTAATGAATAGTCTGACCAGCCCCACCGAGAGAGATCAAAAATAGGTCATGTATTGTGTTTGGAAGAACAGACGAAAAAGAGCAAAAGAAAAATGAATGTCCAGAATAAAAACGGTGCTTCTGCCCAATAAAAGCAAAAAACAATAAAGTTAGAACAAAGTGGCTTTCATCTTGGTGGACTCAAACTGTCCCACAAATCAACTAATCGTATCCCTATATTCCTTTCTTATTGAAAAAAATTTCCTTATACTTACACTTCAACCACCTCCCATCAAAACTGCCTCCACAAAGGTTAACTATGACTTTAAAAGAAATAATAAATAATGTTTTACTTTATTTTTGGTGAAAATATACAAAGCAAAACTCATTCAACAGTTTCTGGACATAATGATCAGTGACACTGGTTACATTCTTCACATTGCGCTAACACGCGTTGTTTCAGTTCTCATTGTTTCACTATGACTTCTTTGCTGCTAAAATTCCAATAGATACTTTGCAGTCCTTATCTCACTCAGCAGCTCTGCCTCAGACGTTTTACTCATGGTGCCCAGTATCTCTCATCCACAACCCGTTGTAACTTGACCTAGCTGACTCCTCTCCCAGGTCCTCCTCCAGAAGCCTTTCTTGACCCCCAAAGGGGGTTGGACCCCAATGCTTCCGCTGTGCATTGGATTTTCTTCTCTCTAAGGCCCATCTCACTTATACCTACTTCAGGGCATGTCCTTCTCGATGGAGTCTGTATTTTACAGGCATAATATTGATTACCACACATATTGTTCATCACTAAAATGACACTTTCCAGTGAACTGACTGGCCTATTGCAAAAACTCAGTAAATTAAAAAAAAAAAAAAATCCACTGCCATTGAGTCAATTCTGACTCATAGTAACCTCCATTGGGTTTCTGAGGCCATAAACCTTTACAGAAGTAGATTGCCCAGTCTTCCTTCCATGCAGTGGCTGGTGGGTTTGAACCACCAACCTTCTGGTTAGCAGTCAGATGCCTTAGGCACTGTGCTACCAGAGCTCCTTCAGTAAATATATAACTTTGAATTATTTTCACGCATTGACAAACAAGCTGTTACCACTGTAACAGATTTTCACCACAAAAATGAACTAAGTGTTTTCCAGGGCCCTGAAGATGGCAGTGAATTTTTGGGCTTTGAAGACCTTGTAAGAAAATTTCCTATTATATTCAATAGACTAGAGCTAACTATTCACTCAACTTAAATAGTATAAAGGACATGATCAAGTTTTTAATAGTGGTTATTGAGTATAATCAAAATCAATAAAACCAAAACATCACTGGTATCTACCCAATTATGTACTTCCTAATAAAATAAAAAGTGTGTAATCCAATCTGCGTTATCTTTAAATAACTATGACAAATATCTGAATACCATCTCTGGAAGGGAAAAAAACTATCCTTTAATCTATGCCTAGGAGCTCTGGTAGCATAGTGGCTCAGGCACTTGACTGCTAACCAGAAGGCTGGCGGTTCAAACCCACCAGCCACTCCTCGGAAGGAAGGTTGG